CCCGCCGTCAGTCTTAATGTCACCCGTCACACCCAGGGAAATCCTCCCGCAAAGTCACGAAATTCCACCACCCTGTCCTGTGGTACCGTCAAGCACTCGCGTCTTTACCACAACACCTACCACGAATTTCAGCGCTACTCCTTTGACAAGTGAGTCAACAGCATTCGTCCATGCAACTCAACCGCTACAGCAGTCCCATTCCTCCTCACTTCCGTCTCCCGATCCAAGCAGTGCCTCCCATCCTAGCCCTGCTAGCGCTGGAGACCGAAATGACCGAAGTTTGTCACATGGCGTCCTCCCATCCCCTCCACCAGTCCCCAGGCCAATGCAGATACATGGGCAACGGAAACATCCTAGGCAAAGTGGCAATCGCAATCTCATGCCCGCCAGCACATCGCCTACCACAGCGGGAGGGGAGACGATGGCCGAGGAAACTCCGGTCCTGGCCACAATTAGGGGCCTACAGAGACAGCAGGCGATTGCGAGTCCCCAGCAGTACATAGCTCCGGCTCCGCCTGAAGCGCAGCAGCCTCGACCATTAATGACCAGCGCTCCGCCGGATTCGAACCATGCTCCTCCCAGCCCCGTTGGACCGGGTCCTTCGACTTCCTTCATCAATCAGACATTTTGGACACAGTCGCAAGATGCCTTGGATACTTTCCTGGCAAGAGCGGAGGGTGCCATGCTGCTCTCAGAGACAGTGGAACTGCCACGAACCCGTCTTCTACGGGATGCGTGTGTCGAAAAGGATCTATTCTACCTGACTCTCCATCAAATATACTCCCTGCACACCTTTGCTCCCTCGGAATTTGCTCGGTTACCGTATGTAAGCCGACACAATGAGATGGGAATGGAGGTTGTCCAGCAGCTTCTAGTAGACAACCACCGTCTATCGGGCGACTTCCTGAGGTGGAGCGTTAATTTTCCTCGGCCGTTGGGTGTGATGTGTCAGACTCGCGAGTTTCCAATAGTTCTCCATCAGATTGCTCGTTGCCTGGGTTCTTTTTCTGAAAAGTGGACGGCTTTTGATCGCCATGTCCGAGAGCGCGGTTATCCCCCTTTGATCGATGAATTAGTCGTGCAATTTGGCATAACATCGTCCGTACTATTATCAATAGTGTTCCTAGCCTTGTCCCGAAGGATTTTCGGAACCCAGCATGAAGACCAGTTGCGGAGTATCTACAGCAAGAACAAGCGGAACTACGTGAAACGGTTCGGTTCTAGGCACACTCCGGAGCAGATTCATCGCGAGAACGAGCGTTTGATTCAGGCGTACAGGGCCCTTTCCCGCTCCCAGACACCGCTAGTTGGTCAACATACTTCACCTGAGGCACGAGAGCATGCAGCTCAGCCATTTCCACAGTGCTCAATGCAGCCCGTTGGGCCTACAGGGCTGATCACATATGTCGCGGTCCCTGGCCCTCAGATGCCGTCCGCGCAAGTACCTGTACATAGCTCTCAGTCGCAGACCCAGCCAATGCCTGTTCACGCCCCTGGTACCATGAATCGTGCCGCGACGATGATTTTGAATGGTCAGAGACCCCAGCTTCCACTGCCTACACGGCCAAACCTCGTTCATCCCAGGGGGCTTGGCACTTCCTCTCAAGTGCCAGCTGGGCAGATGACAGGCGCAGCTGCCCATTCACCGGTGCCTGCGCCTGCACCTACACCTGCTGGACGTCAGGCACAAATACTATCCCACGCCCCTTCTCAGAATGTCCGCCAAATTCCACCGCAGCCTTCACCTCAGCCTTCATCTCGGGCTATGCCACTCACAACTCCTATTCATCGCTTTGCTACTCAAGCACGGCAGGCGCAAGGACTGGTGCAGCAACCACAGCAAAGTCCGCTGATACCACAACCGCTCCTTCCTCCACCGGGGCCCCTACCATCTACCACAACACGGCCGCACCCTCTCCGCAGTGCCCTACATCAGGCACATCTCCGCGATCCCATTATCAAATGGACTCCTTCGGGAGCAGGGGGAGAAATGGCCGACAAGGAGACGAATCTGTTCCATTACTTGAAATCGTTCGTGGTACCGCCGACTCCCTTGGGGCAGACGGAGTCTGCTTTTGAATGGCAGTTTCCTCTTTCCCGAGCAGACTTTGACCGACTTCCTCGAATCGTGCCTCGCGACACTGGTCAACGTCTAGTCCGATCCCTGGTTGATGGTACTCAGATATATCGTGTGCGGTGTGTTCGCATTTCGCCGTCGGCGAATGAGGTGAGCCAGCATACTTGGTGTCTCACAGAATCTGCATGGCCCAGTGTTATTTACATCTTTGTGAACGGTGTAGAACTCTACGTTCGCCGCAAATTTCACAACGGCAAAGATATTCCTCTGGACATCAGTGGCCATCTAAAAGAAGGCTTGAATACTATCTCCCTGCATTTCATCCGCAGTGCCGCCGAAAGCAGAGACGTAGTATATGCGTTGGCGGTGGAGGTCATGGATACCCTCAGTTTCACTCAAGTGAAGAAGCTCGCTCAGACCCTACCCGCACCCCAGTCTCGTGAGCGGATTCGTCGACGCCTTTCCTCCAGCACTACCGACGATGAAATAAGTATTGTCAGTGACTATCTCACTGTCAATCTAGTGGACCCGTTTATGGCTCGAATATTCAACATTCCTGCTCGCGGAATTACTTGCGAGCACGTGGAATGCTTTGATCTCGAGACATACATCTTGACCAGGGCCTCCAAGCCGGGTAAAACTGTCTTGAAGGAGAATTGGAAATGCCCAATCTGTGGCGCAGACGCTCGTCCTCAACATTTGATCATCGATGGCTTCCTTGGTGAAGTCCGTGCCGATCTTGTACGCACGGGTCATCTTGAGGGAGCAAGGGCAATCAAGATCAAGGCGGACGGGTCTTGGGAGCTCAAGAGTGATGGGGAAAGTACTTCACCTGAAATGGAGCTTGCATGGGTACAGGAAGGCGGCTCGTTGAAACGGAAACGTGAGGGCGTTGTTTCGCCACTGGCAACTCAGAGGCCGAAGACAGAAGGCGCTGGTCGAGAATCGCTAGCTTCTCGCGAATCCTCAGCATCTCTGGTCATCGAACTCGATTAGTTAGGTGATTTGATAGGGCCGCTGACTCTATAACGGAGTTAATTGCTTTTTGATTTCAGCATACGATCTGCACGGTGGTGCGTTTTGATCGGTGTTTTTGATTTGGTTTACAGCACAAGATACCCCAATTCCATGTTCTTGCGCAGAAATTGAATATATTTTTTTATCGCTGCACTGATACACTTTGACTTTGAAGGCCTCTGGAACCAAGTAGTCTTGTCAACTGCCTTTGAAAACTGGGAGCGGAATCACATTCCATTAAGCACGGGAGAAAGTTTCGATAAGAGAAATTAGAGATGGATATAATTTCTCATAAGGTGACATGTATAAGAAAACCGCTGCGATGGGTATAATAGTGCCAGAAATGAAAAGCGCGCCACAGTGCCCCTGTCGCCGGCCCAGACCGCCCAGAGATTGCGTGCATCAAGGCATTCACCTTGATGGGGAGCCAGGCCCTGCTGGCTGCGGGCAGGTCGTTGGGTTCGAGCTGTGGCCGGCGACACGCATAGAAGCAACTCTTGATCCAACCCTTGTGAACCGAGTAATGTATCTCTGTTATTTCCTCCCGGCCCGACTGAGAATGTCCGAACTGCCTCGGAAGGGACGCTGTAGCAACCTCAGATGATAGATAGCCGCCTTGAGGCTCAGCACACAGCCCAATAACATGCAAAGATGATAATCAATTCCCTGGTGCGCGGCATTTCACCGTCGACAGGAAAGTTTCGCAAGGATTTCCAAGCCGCTCAGTCGAAGCTATCAGGAAGTCGCTCGATAACATATTTGCCTCTGGCAACCTTCATGATTGGCACACCGGGTATCTTGCGGATGCGCCGCACAAGGTCCTTATCGTTCGTAGCGACGGTGTAGATTCTGTGCTTCATGACCTATCACGACGAATCGAAAATTAGCAAAAGGCTTGCAAGCCATGACATTCAGAAGGGAGAAAACAGCCTTACCCTGTCCACAATGCAGTCATCAGCATAGGTACCAGCGTGATCACAATGCAGTCTATTCCATCTCGGATCCTTTGCGACCCTCAGCGCCAGCCGAAACTTCGAGCCCAGTTTCTCCAATTCGGCAATGGTGCAGTCTGTGAAGGTCGGGATGCACTTGGCATACAGGCTAGCCACACAAATGTCAGTCTCGTTCGTCAGATGAAAAACCAAGTGCAGCCGTCTTACAGATCCATCATAGCGGGCAGCATGTCCAATTTCGCGCGGATCGTGTGCGAAACAAAGTTGGTATCCACGAGTACGGTGTAGGGAGGACCCAGGGCGGTGTTGGCGGCGAAGAACATATTTGATGGAGCGACCGGGATGTGTCGGGTAAGTTCTTCGCCTTGAGGCTTCTTCTCTTCTTTCTTGCCGTTCAAGGGCTGCTTGACGCGGTTGTCCCGCTGGCTGATGGCGCGTTTGACCTGTTGTTCGTTGCTTGAGTTAGTATGGTGCTGGGCGTATAATGTTGTTCTGTGGACTTACCTGCGCGAACTTGCGAGTCTTCTTGGCAATACCCATTGTGGCTGATGATTTGGTGCAGATCAACGATTTTCAGGGTATAGAAAAGTGTTTTGATCAGACAGAATTAAAGACGAGGTTAAGGCGTTGACTGTTCATGTAAAGTTGAGCATCTGGGAGGCTTTGGAGAAAATCTTTGCGGGCCGATGTTTCGCCGTTTGAGTGCCAACAGTGGGTCTTTCAATGTCACAGCAAGATTCGATATGTAACTTGGGGAAGACAGCAACAAATAGACTAGATACTAGATAGCCATGTTCTAATGATACAGATGAAAGCTTTAGGGACATTGCGTTGACTCCAATACTGTTTCATCATATGCATTGGCTCGAATTTCTACTGTCATACTTTCTCCCAGTGCCCCGCTAAAGAACTACTGTATATCTTCACAATTCAAGCCATTGCTCTGGTGGCTTTTATGGCAGGAGAACAAAATCATGATCATGAGAACCCTGCAAATAATCATAACCCTCTCCCATCCAGTCCACAAATGGTTCTAGATCTCCCCACTCAATCTCACCTCTACAACTTTCCGGGAGTCTCATCTCCAGCTCACTCCTATACCAGCGTGCAAACAACACAGTGACAAGCATAACCCGCGGCTCATCCGTTCGATTCGGCATCCCAGCATGCCACAATCTAAAATCTCGAATGATTATGGATCCCTTGGGTAATGCAGGCTGCACCGGCGGACAGAGTTTGCGTCGAGCCTCCACCAGCTCCTTCCGAATCACTCCACCATTATCAGGCATCAGCACCGACACATCAGTGCCAGTGTGCGTTCCAGGCCAGAGCTCAGTCGCGCCGTTCGTAGCTGCCGTTTCAACCAGATTTACATTCACGCAGAAGCCGAACGGAACGCGGGGAAAGTCAAACGCGACGTCGATATGCGGCGGCTGACGACCTGCCTCTTTGGTCCTGAAGGCCGTGTTTGCACTGAGGAATCGAAGCTGTGGCTTGGGGCCGAGCATGCACTCGATGATAGCGGTGGCGAAGGGGTTTGCGATGACCATCGATAAGGGATTCTGCGCCTTATGTTCGCCATCCTCGGCATCGGGTATCTGCTCGCGATAACGGTCAATGGCCTTTCGTACGGGAACTTCTTGCTGGATGTTCCCCGTTTCGGGCCCAAAGTTCCGGTGCGTAGATCTTTTCTCGTAGAGTGTGTGAGCGTCAGGAGTCATGAGAGTGTTGAGCTCGTCCAAGTAGGAAGGAGGAATTGCGTTTTCCACGACAACAACACCATCCTGGTGAAGAGCTTCGATGGCACGCTGAAGATTATGACAATTGATTTGCCGGCTGCATATTTCAGAGTCAGTGAGGCGAATGCTGGTAATTTCTTGCGAGTAACTAGGCAATGGCATGGATGCCATTTTGACGATAATCGCAGAGCGTTGAGCGCATGAATTGGGAGAAATAAAGCGTATTTGAATGGGGTTACATTCAGGGGTCGTAGATAGAGGGAAAGTCCAGCCGATCAGAGGCTGGCAGATGCGGAGATTTCCAAGGCATGGGGATGCATCTGGCTTAATGTAGGATAAATCCATTGATAACACCATTAATTAATGATATCATACACTTTAATTCGACGATGTCTATGCGACGACTAAAAGAAAGCCTTCGGCCCCCGAACTGGGCCGAAGATATACCCAACATGCATGAGGAAGTCAGTCTTCCATGGATATGGCGAGGCTCCGACCTCGCGTTGAACAGAATAAGATTGGTATCGAGCGCTTTCTCCCATGAGCCGACTGAGAGATAATATCCAAAGAGACAAGACAGAAAGAAACCCATTTTATATGATATTACCTGTAGTTCTTCATTTCCTCACACGCCTTGCATGATTGACAAGGTTCTCTATCACGCCTTCAAATGCCTCCCTCTCACTGACTAGTCCATCTCGGCGTTTCAACCAGTATTCAAGGACAGAACTGGCCCGAAGCGTGACTTGCTCCAGTTCCTTAACATGTCCGCTCAACTCCGCGTCGGTCAGCCCGTCCAATGCTGCATCGGTAGTGGCACACAGTCGCCGCACCGCCGACAAATCCAGCTCAGGCGGCGGAGACCGGTCACGGCGACGAGATGTTCGATGCCGAGCTGCTGGACCAGACGTTGTGGGGCTGTCAATGCCGTCTTGTGAGCCGCTTTTCCTGGCCTGACTATGAGAACGTGAGTGAGCGGCAGATCCAGTAGTGTCTGAGCCGCTCAGATTGATAGATGGAAGCACGAGCTTCTTTTGCTTTGACGCCGGTAGTATCTCATCCAGGTCAACGGGAACGCCCAAAGAAACCAGGAAAAGACGGCGAATTCGTGACTTGACCCAGTTCTGCGGCTGCAATGGCGGCGGCGCGACGAGCTGAGACCACAGTGACAGGGATCGCTCAGTACTGAAGATGGAGGAGGCATCTTGGATTGGCTCTAGAGGAGGAAGCGATGAAACATTTTTGGAACTGGGATAGAGTTTGTCGAGGGTTTGATCCAAGGCGGCGTGGAGATCGGGGAAAGACTGGAAGGTGTCGAAATCTATTATGGGAGGCTGCAGATCCGAATGGATGTAAGCATATATACGCACAAAAACGGCTCGATTGATACTGCAGTCATTTCTGACAAGTTTCGTAGAGGACTACTCACAGCTAGAGGATGTGGGAGAGGCTGCTGAGGCTCAATCGGTTCGGGCGCAGCAGTCTCTCCACCCGGTTCTTGAAAGCCATCGTCAAAGTCACCAAAATCATCATCTGCCAAATCTTGCTCTTCTGCAAAGTCGTCAAAGTCGTCCGCAGCTGCTTGATCTTGAGGATTTTCGGGTTCGTCGTTGTCCCCATAGTCGAAATCAGCATCTACATCACCTAAATCACGATTGACATTTTCACTCGTTAACGAGCCTCTTCGTGAGGTGTGATCTTGATATGCGGAGCTATTTGATGATGATGAATCGGGTAGATCTGAATTGGTCAATGGTCCCCCGAGACTCTCTGTGATGGGAAGATGATTCGAAGCATACCTGGTGCATCTGGAATCTTGTCCATCACATCTGGAGTGGCATCACTTGGGCGCCTCCGATGAGCGTGTAGGCGGGAAGTCGTGTCTTCAATTGCCGTTGAATCCACTTGTGAGATCACTGTTGCAGGGACCTGCGTGCTAGTGACAGATTCAGGCTCGTTTGATTCGGCACCATCCGCTGGTGAATCGATATCCGATATCCGTTCTGGCGCTTTGATGACAAGATCTGGTACTGCGTCCGCTCTACGCTTCTCATATGCAAGCGTTCCAGGGACGTCCCCATGGCTCGGTTGATTTAGATCAACCTTTTCAACAATTGTTCGAGGGATGGGCGACCCTCCCGGAGTCAATGGGCGCTTTTGCGACCCCACAGTGGACGAGCTCCTGCTACGTGACGCCGTTGGGATGATTTCAATTTCATCGGGGACAGCGTCTTGTTCCCTTTTTTTATATGCAGGTGTACCGGGAATTTCACCGTGTGCGGGTCTATCGTCCACTCTCTCAACTCGAGTCAACGGGATAGGGGATGCGCGACCGGACTGTGGGCGGGAATGAGAGCGCTCGTGGCCTTCGCTCGCGTCTGAAAAATGCTCATCGTCACTATTGGGAACTGCTGAGGAAACCATAGTGTCATGTAAATTCAAATTGTTCCGCAAAAGCACGAGAGAGTTGGTAAAGCCCTTACCTGAGTCTTGAGCCCCCGAGTCTTCCAACTCAACACTCCTCCTCGGGGGCTCCAGATATGGACTGGACGGACGGGAGAGCCGCTCCGACATTTAACTCAATTTTTTCGGCAGTATTTCATATAGAACCGGTGTGTGGAGGCAAGAAGTATGTCTGAAGGAAGGGAATCATGGATATATAGATGAGAAAAGGGATGCCTTGGTTTGGGTGACGTTGTCATCAATATGTAGTTGTTGTCGATGACCAGGTTCTATGGGAGTCTCGACCATGTGCCTTAGGCACACGGAGAAGTACATACCTGCTGGCCTGAGGTATCTACCCCGAAGTTGCTTAGGCGCCAGCCGCCAATAATAATAGGGTAGAAGCGCGCGTTTCGCTCCCCAAAGAAAGCATCTGGTACTCCAGCTAACAGCATCAAGCTTCTCCTCGTTGCTTGCCATTGCTATTACTTTTATGCAATTGAGGAAAGCTTCTTCAATAACGTAGTCGCCACATTCGCAAATTCTGCCTTGACAGGACTTATTTTCTTCGGGCGCAGTAAGTTCCTCTCGGTTTAATTTTTCCCTAGCACCCTTCATCATAACTTGCTGTTTTTCTTTGCGTCCCTACTGACGGTCACCAGGGCAGCCCTGACAATTCCCTCCGGCGAACGTTTCTCGTCATGTCCAACCCATTTTCTTTCGGTGCGCCGGCCTCCAGCGGCGCTTCAAGTGGAGGTCTATTTGGAACTGCTGGCAACGCTTTTGGTTCCAATCAGAATAGCCCCAGCACCACCACCGGAGGCGGTCTCTTTGGCAATGTAGGAGCTTCCTCTAGCGGCACTTCTACACCTTCATTATTCGGATCGGCACCTGCGACTGGGGGATCGGGCAATACCCTGTTTGGTGGTGGTACCGGTGCTGCGAGCAGCGGTACACCTACCGGAAGTACGCCTGCCTTCAGTTTTGGAACTCAAACCAAGCCTGGTAGCACACCTCAGTCACCGGCCTTGTTTGGCGGCGGATCGCAGACTCCCAAACCAGGAGAGACTCCTGCTTCTGGGCAAACTGGCGGCAATGCTCTCTTTGGGAACGCCGCAAAGCCTGCCGGGAATATATTCGGAGGCGCCACAGCGACTCCTGCGCCATCCGGAGGCTCGCTCTTCGGCAACACTTCTACCACACCTGCTGGCCCTCCGCCACAGGGAAGCGCGGCCGGGCAGGGTCAGTCGCTTTTCGGACAGGCAGCCCAGAAACCAGGCGGTCTTTTCGGTGGTCTGAACGCAACTACTACTTCCTCATCGACAGCCTCTCCCACAGCCACGACGGCGCCCGCGACGGGCGGGACGCCTACACTTTTTGGGGGAGCTCAACAGCCACAAACTACCGGAGGTGGTCTCTTTGGATCGAACACTCAGCAAAAACCACTGTTTGGAACAACTCCGTCGGCGCCCAGTGGCGGTGGTTTGTTCGGCAATGCCGCTAAGGACAAGCCTGCGGAATCAACAACCCCAACAACTACCGCTGACGGTGCTGCGAAACCCCTCTTTGGAGCTGCCCCGGCAGCACCCGCCGGGCAAGCTCAAGGCTCGTCACTCTTCAAGATGCCATCCTCTGGCGCCGATTCGGGGACGAAGCCTGCTTTCCCGTCTCTCGGTACAGCTACCACAGCCACGACCAGCCAACCCTCTACAGCCTTGACCACATCATCCGACACTCCGCAAAAGTCGCTATTCCCCAGTCTTGGAGGTACTACGTCCGCAACCCCATCAGGTACACCAGCGGCTGCTCCGGCCGGAGGTAGTCTGTTTGCTGGACTGGGTGCGTCTAAGCCTGCGGAATCAGGTGCGGCAACAACCACCACCGCTCCCGCTTCTCAACCCGCAGCGGCAACCGGCGGACTGTTCGGTAAACCTGCTGAGACCACGCCCTCTACACAGGCTCCGAGCACTGCTGCGGGCGCCGCTGCAACCACTGGTGGTGCCAAGCCATCGCTCACGGCGACTTCCGGGCCGGCAACATCAGCAACCACCACAACTACTGGAACCGCTGCCGGGACGGCCACAGCGGCCGGAGGTACTGCTCTTGGTGCATCGACGGTTGGCCCAACACCTCCGGCGCAGTCCCGCCTGAAGAACAAGACCATGGATGAGATTATTACGAGGTGGGCTACCGATTTGACCAAGTACCAGAAGGAATTCCGAGAGCAGGCCGAGAAGGTTGCGGAATGGGACCGTATGCTAGTGGAGAATACTGCAAAGGTCCAGAAACTCTATGGCAGTACAGTCGACGCCGATCGGGCCACGCAGGAGATTGAGCGCCAGCTCGCATCTGTTGAAGGGCAGCAAGAAGAGCTTAGCTCGTGGTTAGATCGGTATGAGCGTGAGGTGGATGAGATGATGTCGAAACAAGTGGGACCTGGCGAAGCCCTTCAAGGGCCGGATCAGGAACGTGAAAGAACGTATGTGATGTTGCTCCTTGGATACCAATTCATACGGCAGCTGCTAATTCTGGCAATAGCTACAAACTGGCCGAAAGACTGTCCGAGCAGTTGGACGAAATGGGCAAGGATTTGACGAGCATGATTGAAGAAGTCAATGGAGCTTCGGCTACCCTAAGCAAGACCAACAAGGCCGATGAACCCGTATGTACATTTACGATCGTTCTCAGACGGTTATCATTTCAGTCAGTATCGATTGTGCTAACGAACCTCCCTAGATTTCTCAAATCGTGCGCATCCTCAACTCGCATCTTTCTCAACTGCAGCTTATCGACCAGGGCACATCCGAACTCCAGGCAAAGGTCAGCGCTGCGCAAAAATCCGGACATACATTGTCATCCCGGTTTGGTCATGGATTCAGCAGCTCTGGGATGGGCGGCGGAAGTGCGGCAGATGACTTCTATCGCTCCTACATGGGACGGCGATGATTGATTCTCCTTACTCATGTTTTGCGATTACCAGAGCGAGGGAAACCGGAGACGATGAATCGGTATGGCGATTGTAATTGCAATGCTAGGCATAATGATTTTGAGACAATTTGAGCTAGTTCATCGCGAAGCTCACGATTACTGCTTGCGATTGGACTTCGTTCCGTAGGATCAGGCTACTTCAGGGACCAGACGGATAATACTTTTATGCAGGCTTTCATGGTTACCGGATAGTGATATTTCTCGATAGTGATACTTCTTGTGATTTGCGGCCAGACATCAGTCGGACGAACTAATGGTAAGAGTGGATATGGTCATTCATAAGTGTGAAAGGCAACGTCAAGAGCGGTTTACACTGTTGGGTAATCCCTTGATTTTAAGACGTGCGGATATGGTAGATGGTGTTCGAATTTAGTTCTTTTCGCCGCCCTGGTTCCGGGTGAGCTCCTCACTGCATAGAGAGAACATAGGTTAGACATTTATCGCTTGATATGGGAATAGAGGAGAACGAAAATGATTCAGAGGGACATACAGATGCTTATCAAGCTCGTTGAGATGCTCTTGTTGTTCCTGGATCTTTCTCTTGAGAGCTGCGAGCCTGGCAACCAGACATTTTAGTATCCTATTCATCAACTCTTTTGCCGGAAGTCCGGCATCAAAGATCAAGATAGAAAACATACTTTTCCTTCTCCTTCTCATGGATGTACAAGCTTTCCTGTGCAGCTTCTCGGCGTGTGAAGGAATCCCTGAGAGAAATTGACCAGTTAGCCCTTTCTCAACAGCTTCCGGTCGGGAATAAGTGATGTCATCGTTTAGGTGACAGCGACAGCGCCAGCGTACTCAAGGTGACGAAGGGTAGAAATAGAGGGAAGAGACATACCCGCTCTGAACACCGCCAGCGCGAGGAGCACCGGTATCGCCTTCACCCATTCTGGGAGCAAGAGCAGAGAAGGAGCGGCTGAGAGCGCGGTTGGCGTTTGTGAGGGAACGGACAGATTGGCGGAGCATGTTGGGATGGATGTTGTTATATGAGAGTGGAAAGGAAGAAAAGAGGGTAGGAAAGGTGATCAAATGACAATTAACTATGGAAAATGATGTTGTGACGGGGAATATGATGAGGAGGAAAGATGGCTCTTTATGGGTGGTTGGTGATGGTGGCTTGGGGTATCGTAAGTTCTTGTACTACGAAGTACCTCACAGCTCAGTTGGGTTAGCTTGCCAGTGATGCCTATCAATCAACCTCTCGGGCTCTCCCTTTGCAAACTATTGTAGTCAGCCATTCAAGGCTCGGACCTGGACTGGGAATAATGCCGTCGGCCGGAAATCACCTATGACGACATAACAAGCCCGACTGATCATGTGATATTGTATGAGTCAGCGCAAAAATGCTTGCTTACCCTTGTCTGTACTAGGTCGGGATAGGGGATCGCCTGCTTACTTGATCTGTGTCTGGCGAGGTCAGGTGAACACCAGAAAGCCACTTTTTGTTGAGCGCTTCTAGATTCTTATGAAGGCCCAAAAAAATGAACTGTTCACATTCAAGCCTCCTTCTGACAGGAAAAAAGGCGATAAGGATCGCGAGGGATCATTAGCTGACACTCAACAGCGCAATTTCAAGGCGCATCTCTTCCTAATGGACTTCAACAATATGCTATTATTATTGTACTCCTACCCACTATCAACCCAAAAGAACTACTCGTTTATTTGCGGGTGCATGGCCTTGATAACCATGGACCAGCGAGCGCCCTGGAGGCAGCAAGAGTCTGGAGTAAGGTAGTCAAGATCCGGCCCTACTATCTTCGGGGACAAATTCGCACCATAAAATCTAATATAAAGGATTATGATATTGATGGATTGTCTCCAGTGAGATGTCACGTAGTAGCTTTGATCAATCAATAGTCTAGATAATGATAATTAAAGAATTCAAGTCCTTGGAGGACCAAAGGAGGATCCTATCTCTCATACACGCGGGACGATTGGCGGATGTGAAATAGGGATGACGATGGATGGCCCACCGAACCACACAAACGACCAAGAGATGGTCTGGAGAGGAGGGAGGGAGACAGGCAGCTTTGATGGAAAAGGAGACAGGAGAACCAGATGTATTATAGTGAAGAATGAGATTATTGTAGGAATTCTGAAAGAGAGCTGTAAAAAGAGCAAGGCGACAAGCGACCTTTCAAAGA